GGGGGACGCGCCGCGCGCGCGTTCGCGGCGAGCCGGGCGGCCGGGGAGCGTCCGCGGGAGGAGCCGTCGAGAGGCCGCGGCGCGGAGGGGTAGCCGCCCTCCGCAGCAGCCCCCGCCCGGCCGAGCCCGCGGCAGCCCCGAGGCGCGGTCTGCAGCAGCCCTGGAAGTTTCCCGCGTCAAGCGCAACCGGCGCGGCGCGATCGCTGCCGATCCCCTCGGCTGAACCCGCGGGACCGCGGCGCGCGAGGGAGGAGCCCCGCCGGAGGTCTCGGCGTGGCTTCTCGGCCCCTCGCCGCCCGGCTGTGGCAAGAGGACGTGCGCCGGGCGGTGTGCTTCGCCTCCGAGAGGCCGCGCTCCCGCTAGATTTGCCCGGAGCAGGACAATGCAGCATATGGAGAAGTCCTGACATAAAGGCCTGAAGGTGTTGGGAACATTTGGATAAATCCTGGCAGAAAAGCGTTGCTTATATGTGCTTTTGTGTTATAAAATCAGATCTGCACTCTTAAAAGCACCAGCTTTCCAAGAGTAGTCACTGTTTAAAATAGCTTTCCTCCCACCTCCTTTCTCTCGCTCTTCTCATCTCTAACTGTAAACCAGAGCAGACAGGCCATTCAGTCAAATGTGCATTCAGATTGTAGCTACATAATCCCTACAGGAATTCCCAGTTTACCAGGAAGTATCTATTTTGCTAGCCCGGAGCGCTCCATGCGCCCTGGCCAGGCAGAATGGTGGGGATGCATCACTCAGGGTCTCGGCATTCCCCATAATGGCATGTAACACGGGGGCTTATGATTTCAGGGAAGATTTCTTAATAGCCTGAATTTACATGTCCAAGCAGATCCAGAGATGGGTTCAAGTTTCTGGAAGTTACTCAACTGAAATTTCAATACACTGCAATTAGAAATATTGTCACTTGTATGTTTGACTTATTTTCCTCCTTTGTTCTGTATATGGTGACCTCAGAATTTCATGGTAATGTCTGCATTCTGCCATCGATTGCTCTGTACCTGTGTACGCGATTAGGAGAGTATAAAATGCCCTGCACTTGCATTGAAAATTCGCAGTTGAGTCAGCCTCTGCCTGCCCGGTAATGCATTATTGTGAGTCGGGCCTGTGGGGAACCCAGGCTCCTGCCAATAGAGCAGCGGAGGTCTGAGCATTTGATCTTTCCCATGAACCTAAGTTTTTGTTTCCTCCTCTCAAATTGAAAACCGAGATTCTGTCATCTTGCAGCTTGAAGGGCTGCATTTTACTGTTTTGGCCTCTTGGGCAGACTACCTCTGAATGTACAAAGAGTTCCTTTTCCCTACAAGCCCATTTATTTTAACAGTCATAATGCCCCTGATCATGTGCAGAGTGCCTCTGCTTTACAAAGGGAATGCTCCCCATCCCTGGGGTCTGGAGTCCCTAGTGCCTGAAATCCTTCCTTTCACTCCCAGCTCGCCTCTCGTCTGGCTTCAGTGGCAGGAAGTCACTCCCTGGACAGGCTCTCTGAGTTTTCTGCACAGCAACACTCGATGCGCCACCACATATTCTACCCTATTTAGTGTGATTTTCAGGTAGCATTTGCAGGACAGACATAATGAATTCAAAAAAACCTGCTGTGGTTAGTGCAAAATCTATCCTGTGCCTGGAACGGCAGTGCTGTTTCTGCCAAACTTGTTTCAGTGATGCAAGAACTCGGCTATTTGCACCCAGGGTGAGATCTTGGTTCTTTCTCCTTCTGATGTCCACATTAGGTGCTTTATTACACAATAGTGCTGCAACCATCTCTTTCTAGAGGAAGAGTTCCTCAAAAAGCTTATGAAACGAGTGACTGGTGCCTGCCAAAACCCTCATTTTAATAAAATAGGGCATGTGATTCTGAGGAATGAACCATAAATAGGATGGGAAAAAAGCAAAGCTAGCAAAGACAAAACAAGTCCTCTTTGCTCATGCACTGCTCCAGGAGAGAAAGGGCTACTTAGGTAAAGTGTTGTGCCTATGTAAAGAGAATTAACGTTTTTTTCAACCAGAGTATCCTGGCAGCTGAATTATCTGAGTCATATTTGTGGCAGAAACAGCTCAAGACCCAGACTGTTTGGTAGGTACGTCTTTTGTCTCATGTCTCAACTCTGTTTTTCTCCCGCCGTGCACCAGCATGCCTTCTCGCAGAGAAGCCCCACGCCATGTCCGAGCCGCTTGCTTCTGGGCCGCTCTGCAAAGAACTGCAGCCCTAGTCTGTCTGCAAACATGAGCCATTTTAGCATGTCGAACGGTTTTCCAGCTCTTACCAGCCTTGCTGGCCAAGGAATGTACTTGTGAGTGATAGTATTTTGCGGTGCTTCCTGAATGGAAAGGTTCACATGCCCAGCTTCCACCAATGGAAAAAGTGATTTAAAATAACAAATGCTATGGGAATGGGAGGCGTTCAAGAGGTAATTATATCTGGAAGAAAACTGAAAAGGAGAGTCAAGGACCCTTCCTTTCTAACAGACGGAGTTGACAGCAGTTGCACGACAGATCTGCCAAGCGAACTGCATGTGACATCAATGGCAACGGCAGACTTGCCTGTGCAATTTCCTTGACCGTGTGTTAGAGCTGTTGCTGAGGAGTCAAAGCGAGCCGGTGCCCACTCTCTTCTCTCCTCGATGGAAAACCCGGGAAATGCTGAGATGCTGCCAGGCGTCCGGCATCGTTCCTCTGCATGGAATGGTGCTGCCTCCTTCTGTGCGCTTCCCTGCCGCTGCTTCCGCTTCCACCTCTCCTGGGAGCTCATTAAGGAAGGACAGACAGGAAGTTTCTCTTTCCATCTGTCTGGAAAAGCGGCTTCTGCCACCTCAGCGAGCGCCTCTGCAAGGAGTGGGAAGTGCCGCATGCTCTCTCGCGTGGCGAGGCGACCGCGACGCCCTGGCCTGCGCCCCAGCCCCACGGCCCTGGCCCTTCTCCCTCAACCCGCCCCCCTTTCCACGCCATTCACTCCGCCTCCCTCCTCGCTGCCCCATGCCTGCCTGCCTGCCGCACCTTTGCTTCAGCCGCCCCACCGCTCTTCCCTCCAGGACTGCCTCTGCCCTGTTTCCCTGGGCCTGGCTGTGCTCTGTGCGGGATTACATTCAACTTTCCATTTTGTAATTCTTCTGCAGTGTGCGTGTGGAGGCCGGAGGGGGGGGGATCTTGGCTGCCTGAATCTCCTTGAAAAGGCCATGCACCAAGTTTCCCTCCCTTCACACACTCCAGGCAACAGGCTGTCTCTTGGCAAAAGGCTCTTCATTCCCCAAAGGAAGTCAGGCCCCACCAGGAAATGATGCACTGTAGCAGCACTCCAACCTTTGCAAGCAAGGACCAGAGACAGGGGGGGCCTGAGCAGCTGCCGGAGTCTTTTGCAAGGCAGGAGAAGTGGAGGGGGGCGTTCTGCAGGGTTGAGGCACCTCCACTGGAGAGTGCTCCCGGTGCTTCTTTTAATTATATGCCCAGTAGTTGCCTTTTTTCTTTTGTGAGGAGGTTATTATGCACTGAAACTTCGCATTGAACACCTGTTAATATTTACTGCTGCACATGTCCTCTTAAATGATATACTTGCTTCCCAGAAGTTAATGCACAGTAAGCACCATGGAATTTTCTGTGCCCCTTTGACAGCTAAAAGACTGGCATGGGAGGGATGAATGCTCACCCGCAGCGCAGCAAGGGCAACGCAGCATTCAGCCGTTGAATGAGTTGTCTATTGTGCCCCATGTGAATGGACACTTACAGGGATATTAGCTCTGCCTCTCCTCAAGTTTATTTCTCATTCTTAGCTGTTATTCCACACACGCACATTTCAATTGCATGTAATGAAACTGATCTATTCAAAACATTCTGCTTTTCCTTTTGCAATAAAATCAATCATATAAAGTACAGGAAATTATTCCTTGCTGTGTTTTTTGCTCTTTTACAGCTGGGAAACATGTGGCGAACCCAGCCCATTGTATTCTTCCTTCTCCTGGGGCTGAGCATCCCAAAAGCAAAAGGCAATTGTAAATACATAGAGTCTCAGCTCCATTGTGTCTGTTCACTGGCAGGCAGGGCTGATTTTCAAAACTATCTTTCTTGCCTCGCTGCTGAAACATACGAGCTTCGCGGAGGAAACCTGGAACACTTTCAAACCTTTTCTGGACTCAAGCCAAGCCCCCCGATGATTGATATTCTGAGGGCTCTGCAAGTGAAGAGGCTTGTTTTCACAGACGTCCTTATACCCGAGATCCTCTTGCCGGGAGCCTTAGAATTTGTTTCCTACGCTCCCCTGGTTTCAGAACTTAAATTCACAAACTGCACTTTCCTGAACCCTGTCCCCTGGAGCTACACGGGCGGCTTGGACCTGAGGGTGCCCTCCTTGTGCTTGCACAGGGTGGTTGCCGCACCCCTGGGGGGCAGGCTCGGCACGTTCGGCCTGGGCAGGTGGCTGCGCAGCCTGGAAAATCTGACCGTGACGGAGTCGCAAGTGACGTCGGTCCCATGCGCGACGGGCAAGATGTTCTCGTCACTGCATTTTCTGGATCTTTCAGGGAACCGTTTCCAGGAGCAGGGCATCGCCTCGTCGTTCTGCGAAGGCGCTTTCCCTCAGCTGCAGATACTAAAGCTGCAGCGCAACAGCCTGACCTCTTACGGGGCAGCGTGCCAGGCTCTCAGCCGTCTCCAGGCGCTCACCCACCTGGACCTGAGCCAGAACCACTTCCTGCCCGAAGACTCGTCCTCCCACTGCTCGTGGCCAGCCTCACTGCGTATTTTCAATTTATCCAACACAGGCTTGGAACACATGGACAGATCTCTGCCTCGCAATGTCGAAATACTCGATCTGAGTGCCAATAAGATGCTTACCCTCGACCTCTCAATCCCTAGCTTAAAAGAACTGTACCTGTCCAACAACAGCCTGCAGGCCGTACCCTCAGTAGATGAACTTCCAGGGCTGAAGGTTCTCAGTTTAGACCAGAACCAGCTCTCACATCTTCCTCTAAAGGCCCTGCTGCGTTTGGAACATCTGCAGAGCTTGAAGGCTGGCCACAACCTCTTTAACTGCTCCTGTCGCAATTATATCACCGACATCCAGGGGCTGGCCGCAAAGCCGTCCTTGCTGCAAGGCTGGCCTCGGGAGTACCTGTGCAGCTCCCCACCCAACTACCAGACCCAGCAGGTAGCAGAGGTACCCCTTCCATCACTGCAGTGCAACAAGGCTCGCATCAGCCACGGCTCGCTCATCACTCTGCTGCTGTGCCTTCACCTGGCCTGTGCCTTGCTCCCAACGCCGCTGTCTTCCCACATTTCTTCCAGCTAGTTCTGCAGTATCCGGGCACTTCACCTTTGCCAGCATGCAGGATCCAATTCAATTCATGTGTAAATCACAAAATTAAGTTGGGGGAGGGGGAGCCTTATTGGGAAACTGGGATGAATATAGAATTGTAGAGAAGAGCATGTTTATCTTAGAATATTCCATGGTAATGTGGAAATAACTATTGCTGCATATGTACTTCTGGCCAAAAATATTTTATTATCCCTTTTAATGCAATTTCTAACGACTTAGGCGTTACGGTTGGCTTGGATTGGCCCCTCAGTCGAACCATGCTGACTCCCCTGACCCAGGTCCAGGGGATGAAGTGTTCTTTCCTTCAGGCAGCTGCAGGTCTCTGCCAAAGTCCAGGTCGTCTTGGTGCTGGCTTGGCAGTGCCGGTTCCCTGGCGGAAGGCACCTCTAGGCCACGTGGCTGAGGCTTGTGGGGAGCAAACTGCCCAGCTTCCTAAGCCACGAACACACTTCCAGGATCCAGCTCAGAGGTGTGCCATCCTTTGATAATCCTTTTCCTATTTTTTCTATCTGTCTAAACTGTTTTAAGAACTATACTGTATATTATACAGATTCTCTCTCCACAGTACCTGTAATTATTTTATTATTACTGTACTATTATCATCATTAAAATGCTGTGTTGTGTTTAAGATGTTTTAATGTACATGGAAGTGTTACTGAAGTGTTTTATATGCTTTTTATGTATGTGATCTGCTTTTTATGTATGTGATCTACAAAGTAAACCTAAAGATGATTTTAGGAACAGACCCTGCTGTGAACCTGGAAAAGGGGTGTACTTTGAGAAAATAAAGCTTTGGGCATCCTCTGATCTTTCATTTTGCTCTGCTATGTTTTGACTGGGGGTCATACTAGATGGCCTGGGAGGCCCCTTCTGACTTGCTTTATTTCTATGTTTCTACTATATCCTCGAATAACTCAAATAGTAATTTTTGTAGAAAAGACAAAATTTGTATGTGCACAAGGGCAAACAAGATATGCATAATAATTCCATGCTTAAAGAAAATTCTTGGAATGACAAGGAATGGCCGAATCCACTTAAACAGAAGAAGGTGCTTTCTCAACTGAAGGAATATAGAACTAAATTGGCTTTGTACAGGAAATGCATCTGATGTCAGGAGATACACCTCTGTTGACAAGAGATCTGAAACTGAAAAGGTTCAAAGTAACTCTTTGTGCCTGATTTTGGGGATTTCTTAATCAGAGCTGAACTGGCTATCAAAACGATTTCTGGATTGATATGGGTAAGGATGGGGCACGACTGGTGCAGAATAAGGGATTTAACAAAAGAAAGGGTTCCTGAGATCTGTTTGGAGGAGTGACGATCATATGTACCCAGAAAGCTTTGGGTGCAAAACTATGTAAGTTTCCCCACATTTTGGATTTTCAGATCAGGCACGAATTTCAGGACTGAGAGGCAGTGGCTGCATTTTCAGGCAAAGTGCAACTGGCCCAGAAGTGGAGCTGCCCTCCCATCCTGCAGAAGGGTGAGCCAGTGCCAGGTGGTGGCAGCACTGAGGAAAATCTGCCCAGCTCTGTGAAAACGGAATCTCAAAAGGCCTCCGCATGTCTGAGATAGGAGCAAACGGAAGGAGACGATGCTGAAATGGGGCGCCAAGAGCAGGCTCCCGGGGCCTGGCCCATCGGGTGAGGCAGCACTCCTCTCCTGGGCTGAGAGGAGCGATCGGGCGAAAGAGCCCTGCGGGGACCACCGACATGCTCCTGATCTGGGAACTACCCCACCCATGCGCCCTTTCACGCACAGGAAGCAAGCAGGCAGCGGCAGGCCAGGTCCCCAAGGGCGGGCAAGCAGCACCCGGCAACCCACGTGCGACCGCTGCCCCACGTGGAGCACCGTATTCCCATGGGCCAACTGCAGAGAAGAAGAGCAGAAGGACCGCGGACTTCGGGAACGGAGGGGGGAAGCGGGCCACTCAGCCTGGGAGGGGGACTTCCGGTCCTTATCCCTGCCCTCCCCGGGTGACGGCCTCTCAAGTATGCGAAAAGTGGCTTCGTAGGAGTATCTCCCTCAGACTCTCTTCTCAGGGCCGAACACGGGCAGGCCTTTCCACGCCTTCACACCGGGTGTTGTTTCTAATCCCCAGATCATCCTTCTGCCACCCCTGGAGAGCCTCATTCTCAGAGTTATTTACTTGTCCTGCTAGCCTTCCTTCACCTCTGTGCCACCTGCCTGCGCTTTCAGTGTCCCTTGGCCGCTTCCTGCACGTGCCTCTTCTCATTTTTAGTTCAACTTGAAGTGTTCTGTGGAGTCAAACCAGTTTTTTCTGGCATTTGCTATCTTTTGTTTATGCTGGAATTGTTGGTAATTTTGCCATTAAACTTTCCTTTTTAAAAAAAGTCCCATTCATCTTGTACTCCTTTTTTCTTTAGGGTCTCTTGCCATGGAACCTGGCTTATAATTTTCCTGCGCTTATTCAAATCAGCTTCCCCAAAATCCAGAATAGCTATATGGCTACTCTTCATTTTTGCGTCCTTTAAAATGGTTGCCTAGCCAGAAGTGTGGCTTCTAGATCGAGAGAGTTATTACTACCACTCTACACAACTCTGGTGCACCCGCAACTGGAGTATTGTGCTCCGTTTTGGGCCCCTCATTACAGGAAGGATATAGCCAGGTTGGAACCAGTGCAGCGAAGGGCCACAGGGTTGGTGGCCGGTTTGCAGGGGAAGCCGTATGAGGCGAGACTGAGGGAACTGGGTCTCTTCAGCCTGGAGAAGAGGAGACTCCGAGGGGATCTGTTGGCGACATACAGGTGTGTGAGGGGGTGTCACACGGAGGTGGGGAGAGGCCTGTTCTCCCCTGCAGAGGAAGGCAGGACGCGCTCCAATGGAGCTAAGCTCAGGGAGCCAAGGTTTCGTTTGGATGCCAGGAAGCACTTCCTGACAATCAGGACCCCGAGGGTGTGGAATGGGCTTCCACGGGAGGTCGTTGAGGCCCCATCGGTGTGGGTGTTCAAGGATAGGCTGGACATACACATGGTGGGCATGTCGTGAGCAGAGCCAGCTAGAGCTGGGGGTCAGACTATATGGCCCAGGAAGCCCCTTCTGGCTCGCTCTGTTTCTATGCTTCTCAGATAAAGGACTCAAGTAGTCTGTGCTCACTTTCTGCCAGAGTTAGCTTCCACTTTATCCACTAAGTCATCTCTATGAGTCAGTATTAAGTCGAGAATAGCCAACCCTCTACTTCCTTCCTCCCCTTTCTGCACAACAAGACAGGAGGGACCACTTTTGGCAGAATCAGTCTCCCGAGAGAGACAAGGGTGGCTGAAGTCCCCCACTGTGACCCACATCACACTTCCTCAAAATGCTGGCGATGTGCTTAGCACCACTTTCCTCCTCATCTTCTCCTTGAAACTGCCCTTTGGCTCTTGCAGCTGCTCCAAAAAATATCCCGGCCACGTGCGAAGATTAAACATTAACCGTAACTCTACCGCTCTGGTAACGTGATCTGCGCCACACAGCGCTCAAATGAACAGAGCCAGACAAACGAGAACGCAACACTCTCGGCCATGGAGACCGGGCAGGTGAGTTTTCGCGAAGGGCCCGCACAATTCCGTGGCAAGCAGGGCACCAACCGTTCCCTCTGCCCATCGGCCTTTCCTTCTCGGCTGTCTCTTGCTCGAGCTCCCACCCCCTGCTGGGCTGTTCTGATTCCCCCCCCCCTCCCGGGTGTGGGCTCCACTGCTTGGTGGTCCAAGGCCACAGTGAAGCCAAGACCCGGGCTCCCTTCTGCTCTCTGCTCTGCTTCCTTACAGGCCGAGCTGGAAGTGCAGGCTGAAGCAGCTGTGGGCATTCGACAGACGCCAGGTACTTTGGTCCCACCTAAAGGTGCACTTGGATGGGGTGGGGGGGTGTTTTTGCGTAGCACCATCATGCCTCCCTCACAGCAGCCAGGACAGCAGTTCAGAGCAAGGCCAGCACCTTCGGGATGCCAGAACAGGGCAGGGAGAACCCCTTGATGGTGGAGACAGACGCAGCTTTGCAGAGGAAGATGTAAAAATAGGGGCAGTAGAGTGCCGGGGACAAGGCGGTCACAAAAAGAGGCGGGCAGCTCTCTTTGTCGCCCTTCTGCACGGTCAGACCTGCCACGGTCCTTGCCTGGGGACAGAGTCTTTCGGCGCTGTCCTTTCTGTGCCATGTTCCTTCAGCCCAGCGCTTTCCGCATGCAAGTCTGGACAGAGTTGCTTGCTATTTCTTTTGAATGTGAAATGTTTCATGCAGGTATTTTTCCTTCCTAATCCAGACATGTCTTCTTGGGGTGGAAACAAAAGACAGCAACTCCAGAGAAAAGTCCTTTTTTCTACTACTGGCCCAAAGTTTGAAAATTAGCGTTTCCTGCTTATTTTGCAGTTTGCTTCCCCTGGAGAGCTTTGTACTGTCCAGTATTTCTGGATGTGCTTGGGACATCTGCCTAAAGAGGGCAGGCAGTGCATTAGGGCCCACGGCGCTGGCTTAATGTGAATACGAACAGGTCTGTGGGGAATATTCAGTCGCAAACCGGATGTTTGCACAACGAATAACAATTGCATGCTTTTAGAGTACGTATTTTTCATGGAGTCAGGCCTGCAATGAAAAATAGGTGCTACAACATTTCCCAAGTATGTTGCTAGTTGTTTTCCTCAGTCTTTAGAGGATAGGCAAATAAAATATCCAGCAAGAATACTCCAAATGAACCCTTTTCCTTCCTCATGTCTGAGTCCTTTCAAGGAAATGCAGTATAATCCCATTCAGTGTAAGCGCAACCATCATCCTCTCACAACAGAAGAGAGGAGAGGAGAGGAGAGGAGAGGAGAGGAGAGGAGAGGAGAGGAGAGGAGAGGAGAAGAACAGGGCTGCAGTTTTTTGCACTTGGAAGCCGGGTTGGCTCGTCACCAAACCCTCCCGAGGCTCTGGGCACCCGTGCCTTCTCCGTGGAGGCACCGCGCAGGGACATCTGCTAACTGCCCTCCGCTTGGTGTCCCTTCCAGGCTTCGCAAAGCAGGACAGCTTCCTGGTGGTGAATGAAGATTCAGACTCTTCCATATTCATTACGAAGACAGATGAGGCAGTGCACGTGAGGATGCTCCCACGCGGGGAGGGTGGCTGGTTGCTCATCCTCTGCATGATCCCAGCGTGGCGTTCTGCTGTTCGTGGAAGACACGTGCCCCTCACTGGCTTTTGCAAGGGGATCCTTCTATCCCCAGCATAGCCCAGCTTCCCCTTTGACACAGAAGTTAACGCTCTCTTTCTATATAGATGAAGTAGCACACGAAGTTGAGGGGAGAAAGTGGAGAGGGAGACATTTTTTCCTCCTATAATAGTAGGATCTGGGGTTCTCCCACAAGGCTGACCGGGGAGATTCGGAAAGATGAGAGAACGCCTTGCATGGTTCCACAGGCAGCGACGGCTGCTATTTTGGAAGCTTCAAAGGGATTGGATAACGTGGGTGGAGAAGGCCGTCAGCGGCTCCCAGCAGCCACGTGGCTGCTCCAGCCTCGGGCAGCATCCACCCCCGTTGGGGGAACGTGAGGGGCAGAAGCTGCAGCCGGCCAAAGCAGCAGAGGCCCCGCCTTTCACCTGCTTCACAGAGAAGAAAGGAAAGACGTTGAATATGCTGAATACAGATTTCAAGTAGTGCCCGGCTTTGGCCTTCAGTGTGACCAGTAAAAAGTTTCAACAGTTGTTCCCTGAACAAGACGGAGGCTCACTGGATTTGGGGCATGCCCTGCTGATGCAGCCACGGGGCCCGCAGGTGCCTGTTGCGCATGAGACGGCCGCTCAGGGTTTGCTGTGTTGTGTGAACCAAGCAAGTGTGGGTTGC